CACCCATTCAGTAAATATTTGCGGAAGGAAGTGGGGGCGGAGGGAGGGACGATCTTCATTGTCTCCCACCCTCCCCGAAAGCTGCTTGTTCTCTGCCATGGGTGCAGACGCGGCTGTGAACTGGGGCGACATTTGTCAGTTTCTCCGGCGAGACAGGCTTTATGTAAACCCGCGCTCACTCCTTTGACTATATAATTAGGGTTGGGGGGGGTAACCTCGAGGAAAGGTGCAGAGAGCGTTGAATGTAGGTAACAAGAGACCGTCTGGGGGATGAGCGCAGGCTTTGAGGGGGAGAAGATGTTCGTGCGGAGATCTGGAAGCCGCAGAGGCGTTTGAGTGGGAAAGGGTGTCCTAGACGAGGGAGGAATGGCACACGCCAAGGCCCGGGGGTCGGGGGAGGCTTGAGGGAATCGAAGGAACAAGAGGGGATCAATGAGGCTGTGGTGCAGGGGGCAGTGGAAGAGGCTGGGAATGGGGGGGACGGGGGGCGCCCGGAGGATGAAACATCCCTACTTCATGTCTTTGTCAGAATATGTTTGAAAATTTTCAAAATATGGCTCTCCGATAGAGTTCTGTGAGGGGTCCTTTTTGAGATATTCACATACCATGTGGTTTATCCATTTTAAAGTGTACGGTTCAGGGCACGTGGGTGACTCAGTCAGTTAAGCGTCTGATTTCGGCTCCGGTTATGATCTCACGGGTCGCGAGTTCGAGCCCCGCACCGGGCTCTCTGCTGTCAGCCCAGAGCCCGCTTCAGATCCTCTCCCCTCTCCCTCTTCCCCTCCCCACTTGTGTTCTCTCTCTCTCTCTCTCTCTCTCTCTCAAACAAATAAACATTAGGGGGCGCCTGGGTGGCTCAGTCGGTTAAGCGGCCGACTTCGGCTCAGGTCATGATCTCGCGGTCCGTGAGTTCAAGCCCCGTGCCGGGCTCTGTGCTGACAGCTCAGAGCCTGGAGCCTGTTTCGGATTCTGTGTCTCCCTTTCTCTGACCCTCCCCTGTTCATGCTCTGTCTCTCCCTGTCTCAAAAATAAATAAAACGTTTAAAAAATTAAAAAATTTTTTATTAATAAGATAAACAGATAAAATAAACATTAAAAAATCTTTACAAAATAAAGTGTACAATTCTATGGCAGTAATGTATTCACGGATTTGTGCAACACGTCACCACAATCCATTTTAGAACGTTTAGAACAAGATACGCATCAGCCATCACTCTTCAAACCCCACCTCCCCGACCCCAAACTTTAGGCAACTCTGACTCTATGGATTTGCCTTCACGTCTGGCTTCTTTCATTTAGCATGTTTTGGGGGCTCATCCATGTGGTAGCGCGGGTCAGGGCTTTGTTCCTGTTTATGGCCAAGTACGGTTCATACTAATTTTCTTTCTTTCTTTCTTTTTTAACATTTATTTATTTTTGAGACAGAGAGAGACAGAGCATGAACGGGGGAGGGTCAGAGAGAGAGGGAGACACACAGAATCTGAAGCAGGCTCCAGGCTCTGAGCGGTCAGCACAGAGCCCGATGCGGGGCTTGAACTCACGGACCGCGAGATCGTGACCCAAGCCGAAGTCGGACGCTTAACCGACCGAGCCACCCAGGCGCCCCTTTTTTTTTTCATTTTTTTAATGTTTAGTGACTTTTGAGAGACAGAGACAGAGCACGAGTGGGGGAGGGGCAGAGAGAGAGAGGAAGACGCAGAATCTGAATCAGGCTCCAGGCTCCGAGCCGTCGGCACAGAGCCCAACGCGGGGCTCGAACTCACGGACCGTGAGATCATGACCTGAGCCGAAGTCGGACCCTTAGCCAACTGAGCCTCCCAGGCACCCCCTGGGGCTACCACTTTTTTTGTTTATTCATTGGTCAGTTGATCAACACTTGCGCTGTCTGCGCTCTTTGACGGTCAGGAGTAATGCTTCTAGGAACATGGCCATTCATTTCCATTTCCCTCAGAGTTCTGAGTTTTGAGAGACACATACGGTCATACAACCCCCATCGCAACCAAGATACAGAACCGCTCCCTCACCCCCAAAATCCCTTCGCACCCGTTCGTGGTCTGCTCCTCCCTCACCGCCAGCCCCCGGCAACCATGGCGGCTTACGCCCCCCCCCCCCCCCCCGGAGTTTTGCCTTTTCCAGAATGTCACACAGATGGGCTCATACTGTGTGCATCTTTGGAGACCGATTTCTTTCACTCAGCATATTCTACTTTCGATTCATCCAAACTCTTGGATTTTTTTTTCTTTTTTTTTTACTGCCGAGAAGTATTCCATTCTATGGATGGACTGTGGTATATCCATTCATCTCTTTTTTTTTTTTTTAATTTTTTTTTTCAACGTTTATTTATTTTTGGGACAGAGAGAGACAGAGCATGAACGGGGGAGGGGCAGAGAGAGAGGGAGACACAGAATCGGAAACAGGCTCCAGGCTCTGAGCCATCAGCCCAGAGCCCGACGCGGGGCTCGAACTCACGGACCGCGAGATGGTGACCTGGCTGAAGTCGGACGCTTAACCGACTGCACCACCCAGGCGCCCCTCCATTCAGCTCTTGAAGGACATTGGGGTTGTTCCCAGATTGGGGTAGGTATGAATGAATACACCTGCTATGAAGCTTTGTGTGCAATTCCACGCATGCAGATGTGTTTTCATTTATCTTGGGTAAATCCTTAGAAATGAGACTGTTGAGGGGCACCTGGGTGGCTCAGTTGGTTAAGTGACTGACTGCGGCTCAGGTCACGATCTCTTAGTTCACGAGTGAGCCCCACGTGGGGCTCTGTGCTGACCGCTGGGAGCCTGGAGCCTGCTTCAGATTCTGTGTCTCCCTCTCTCTCTCTGACCCTCCCCCGTTCATGCTCTGTCTCTGTCTCAAAAACAAATAAACATTAAAAAAAAAATTTTTTTTTAAACAAGTGAGGGAGGATTAAACTACCAAGAGGTGAAGAGAGCCCCAGGGGACACAGGAAGAGCCCATACAGGGATCAGCCAGTCCCCTTGGGCTGAAGCAGAGCCCCCAAGGAAATCTGCCGGGCGGGGGGGCGGTGGCGGAGGGAGAAAGGGTCACTGGGGGTCCGCGGCACTGCTGGCCCCTGTCCGGTCACGAGAGCAGCAGGGAAGGGCCCGGGAGAACCTGGAAGGGAACCCCGTCCTCCTGCGGGGTTCCTCCAGCGCCCTCTACTGGCCGCTGCCGGAGAACCGTTCACAGGGTCCGGCCCCAATATCCCAAAACAGGGCAACTAAGAATGAATTTGGCGGCGAGAGGCAACCCATTAAGAACCCGGGCGGGGTTATTGTTAGAATCCAGGGAACTAGAGGGGCGCCTGGCTGGCTCAGTCGGCGGAGCGTGTGATTCTTGGATCTGGGGTTCGTGGGTTCGAGCCCCACGTTGGTCACGGAGATTACTTAAAAAAAAAAAAAAAAACAAAACAACCCACAGAGAATCCAGGGCAATATGATACTAATGACAGGTGATTGTGAATATTATTATTATTTTTTTCTATTTCTCATCTGACCTGCCTATATCCTCGTGGAATCCGGACGCGTGAACTGGGCCATTTGATGCGATCCCTTCCTGCTACGTGACACACGGGTGTCCCCGCAGAGATCAAGGGGCTCCTCCCGAGAAGGGGCAGTGAAAAGAACTGAGATTTTAAGTCCAGATGCCTGGATTGAATCCCAGCTCCCTCTGTGTTTGGACACGATGCTTCTGTCCTCATCCGCGAGCCGCGGACTCTCAGACACGAAGGCCTGCTAGAAGCTTCTGTGTCATTTCTTCAAACTCCAGTTGGTGGAGGGATGGAGGGAAGTTGGGGGAAATCCAGGCTGCCTCAGGCATTCTGGTTCCTTCCATCTCATGGCCTGCCATCCCCGGGAGCCCCAGTTTCCACTGGGTCCCCACATCCAGCCAGCAGAGAGGGAAGAAGAGAGAGTGGCGGGGGGCGGGGGGGGGGACACGTAGGAGGTGTTTATGGGCCAGCCCTGGAAATGGCTGCCACCTGCACTTCCTTGGCCAGAACTCGGTCACATGGCCCCACATGTAGCTGCCGGAGAGGCCGGAGAAGTGGGGCCCCTCATCTCCCTGGTGGGGAAAGGAAATGGGGTCGGGTGGACAGCCAGCCGGTCTCTGTCACTTCCTCGCCTCGCCGCCAGCTGTGAGGCTCTGGGCCGTCAACCTCTGTAGCGAATGGCGCTGTAAAGCCCAACACGACTCTGTCTGTTTCCCCGCTCCTCTCCCCTGCACCCGTCCCCGCCTTTTGATTGATTGGCCCAATTTCTCCTGACAGGGACCAACTGGATGATTGAGATCCTCAGCTTAATCCTAAAGGACGGGGACCCATCCTGGGTCCTCTCGGTGCCCATCTGGAAGCGGGCGCCCTGGTGTGAGACCATCCTGGGTGCCTTCAGCCTCTCGGACCAGCCCAGACCCCGCCTCATGAGTTCTCACCTCCCCATCCAGCTCTTTGCCAAAGCCTTCTTCACCTCCAAGGCCAAGGTGCAGGAGGAGGGAGGCGTGTGGGGGTGGGGGAGCGCATAACCAAGGGGTGAATTCAGCACGGTATTTACGGAGCACCTACTACGTGCCTGATCTGGAACGGCAGTAAATAAACGCGCAGCAATGCCTGCCTCGCAAGCCCACGTTCTAAAGGGTGACAGGCCGAGAGAATAGAGAAGAAAAATCTCCTCGTGGGCAAAGGTGATGACTTCACGAACAGCCCGCAGGGGTGGGTGAGGAGGGCAGAGGGCGCAGGTGGGAGGCAACGGTGGGCCCCACGGAGTGGGAAGGGGTGGCCCGCGCGGAGGTGAAGAGAAGAGGCTGAGCTGGGGTTGTACGTTGAAGGTGGAACCAGCAGTAGGATTTGTTGGCAGATGGGGCGTGGGTGTGAACCAGATGAGTCAAGGGTGACTCTAGGGCGTTTGGTTTAAGCAACTGGGAAGATGATGCTGATGTCAACTGACTTGGGGAGGCCGGGAGAGAGGCTCGGGGGAAGGCGGGAGCTCTGTCGGGGCCCGTGGACGTCCAGGTGGAGGGTTGCCAGTGGGCAGTGGGGCAACCGAATCAGGATTCGATAGGACACGCGTCTCTGGAATTGGCTGGTCGACACAGAGGTGGACGGGGCCATTAAAGGCAGGAGACTGGTCGCATCACCAGGGAAGCGAGTGTAGACAGAGGAGGCCCCCCCGGGCCCCCCCCCCCCCCGCCCCCCGCCCGGTCAGGCTCACGGCTTTGCTGCGAGGAGGCCCAGATCTCGGCCAAGCTGCTGCACCCACGGCCGCAGAGAATCCCAGCAAAAGGACCGAGGCTAAAGTCAGTGGCGGAAGGAGGCGTGTGGGTCAGCGTCCAGGTGTCTGTCCCAGAGCAGAGCTGCCCGAGCCTCCCGGCAGCGACATGGGATGATACGCGAGCCTTGGCATCCGGGGTGTTTGTCGGGGCGGACCGCCCGGGGGGCTGACCGTGGTCGTGGGGAAGGAGACGGTGGCCAGGAAAGGAGCCATCTGGTGGGGCTGATGCAGGCTTGGTTGTGGAATAGGAAGCTGGTAATCAGCTAGGAGCCAGGGAGTCGGAGCCTTGAACGCCAGGCCCAGAGGCGAAGAGGGTCAGTCAGTGCCTCTCACCTTGATCACCCCCATCCTGAGCCCCCCATGCCCTCCTCCTCCTGTTTTATGTATTTAGAGAGGGGTAGGGAGGGGCAGAAAGAGAGGGACAGAGAGAGTCCCAAGCAGGCTCCATGCTGAGAGCACAGAGCCCAATGTGGGGTTCCATCTTGCCAACCGTGAGATCATGACCCGAGCCGAAATCAAGAGCCGGACACCCAACCGACTGGCCCCCCCGGCCCCCCCCCCCCCCTCCCGCCCCCGTCCTCCGGTCTTAATTCCCTTGAAGCCAACCTGTCACCCCGCCTGGTCCGGGAACAGTCCCCGTGTCCTGCTGGAATGTGGCTGCAGGGAGGTCTCCCCACCCTCTGGGATGAGATGAACTTGATCTAAGCCACTGTTGGCGGGAAAGTCCCCTGAGAAGTCTACCCTGAGGCCTTCCTGCTGCAGGCCCAGAAACAGAGAAGGCTTGGGGGCATGCAGTCTTTGGGGTGGGGTCCTGCCTGTGTGCAACACCTTCTCCCCTCTCCCCAACACCCATACGCAGGCGATCTACATGGGCCGGAACCCCCGGGACGTGGCGGTCTCGCTGTATCATTACTCCAAGATCGCCGGGCAGTTGAAGGACCCCGGCACACCTGACCAGTTCCTGCAGAACTTTCTCAAAGGCGAAGGTGAGGACTGGGGCAGAGTGGGGGTCTGGAAGGGGTGCCCCTCTTGGGCCCAGACAGGAAGGGGGCAGGGGAGGAGGTAAGAAGGAGAGAGAGAGGCAGCGATACAGGGCGTGATTGACAGTGAAGGCGACAGGTGTGTAAGAGACCGAGCGACGGTGACAGACACAGCAATGGGGAGAAAGAAGCGGAGAGAGACTGAGAGGCCCAGAGTAAGCAGGAGACAGAAGGAAACAACGGAGACAGACAGACAGACACACAGATACAGAGAAGGGAAGAAACAGAGACAGAAATGCAGAAAAGGGGCAGAAACAGAGAGAGATGGGGAGACAAAGGTTCTCTCTCTGGGGGCCAGATGTGGCAGGGGGGGGCTTGGGGGAGGCATCCAGCCCCGAGGCACCATGCCCGGCCCCCCCCCCCCCGCCCCGGTCCCCCAGCGGGGGTGGCCCTGCTGCCCGGCCCTCATCCGCCTGCCCCTCCGCCCCGCAGTGCAGTTTGGCTCCTGGTTCGACCACATTAAGGGCTGGATTCGGATGAAGGGCAGAGAGAACTTCCTGTTCATCACCTACGAGGAACTGCAGCAGGTGATCGCGCGCCCCCACCCCCACCCGGCGCCTCCCTCCCCCCTCCCCTCCTCCCGCCCCCTTCCCTTCCCCCAACACACCAGGTACTGGGGGCACAGCGGTGAACAGAGCAGAGTCCCGATCCAGGGAGCAGGAGAGGGGCCACGGGCAAACAAAGAAAACACATGGCAGCTGGAGAGCAGAGAGAAAAGGCAAGGCGGAAAGGAAGATAAGGAATGTGTGGGGGCACAATTTTAAATAGGGCGGTTGGGGAGGCCTCCGGGAGAAGATAACACTTAAGCAAAGATCTGAAGGTCAAGGACGACCCAGGGGGATAGCTGGTTGGGGGGGGGGGGGGCTCAGGCAGAGGGAACCCGCCAGTGCAAAGGCCCTGAGGTGACAGCACACGCTTGATGTGTTTCCAAGGGGAGCAAAGAAGGATGTGGCCAGAGCCGCCTGAGTGGGGGTAGGGGTGGGGGTGGGAGACAACAGCAAGGACCTTGGCCTTTCTCTGAGGAGGTGGGAGCCAGGGGTGGGCCCCGCGCAGGCGAGGCGGTAGGAAAAGCACGGAACCGTGGCGCGTGGGGAGTGAGCTCCAGGGATGGCTGTGGCCTGGAAGGCAGAAGGGAGCCGCAGAAGGAAACAGCCTTTGGAGTTAGACGGGGATCCTGTCTGGACCCCACCAGACGTCCCCGGAGCAGGCACCTGGGAGAGAGATGCCTTCCGGCTGGGGCAATCAGGGCGAGTTCCCTGGAAGAAGTGCCGTGCCAGAATTGCCCGCTGCCTTGCCCCGCCGCGAGGAGGATGCCGGGCTTCTGGGGGCACAGCCCCCAGCGAACACGCCCAGCCATTCCAGGTCCTTAGCAAAGATGTTTCCAGAAGCTGGGCACCCGAGAGGGTGCCCTTACATGCCCCTTCCCCAAGCTCCCCAGACATGTTTCCTTCTTGTATGTACACGTCATGGATTTTATTTTATTTGGTGGTGGGGGGGGGGTTGAGAGAGGGGGAGACACAGAATGGGAAGCGGGCTCCAGGCTCCGAGCTGTCAACACAGAGCCCGACGCGGGGCTCGAACTCCCGAACCGTCAGATGGGAGTCGGACGCTTAACCGACTGGGCCACCCAGGCGCTCCTCATGTATTATTAATTTTTTTTTTTTTTTTTTTTGGATGCTTTCTGCCGGTACTTTTTGGAGGGGGAAACACCTGAATGTTTGTGTCCGATAAAGCAGTTAACGTCCCCCCAAATCTCTCAGAGCCTCAGACGTCCCATCCTTAAAATGGGTGGGAACGTGCCAGCTCGTGAGGTTGCCGTAGGGAGCCCCTGGCATAGCACGACCATCTGACAAGGTACCCCAAAGTGTTAATATAGTGCGCAAAGTAAAAGCGACTAGGTCCCGAGGCAGGACCTGTGGGATCGGCAATAAGGAGAATACCACGCACCAAACACCTCACTTAATCCTCAGCGTGTGGACAGGCGAGTCACAGATTAGCTAGAACCACCTACAGCTGCCCATATTGGACCCGTTTGGATCTGCCAAAAATATAATTGTATAGGGTGCACCCCAATATTGTTAGTACCCCCGTTTTATGGAGGAGGAAGCTGGGGGACAGTTGACAACCTGCCTGAGTCTTTTGCCCAGCCCGGTAAACGTCTTTTGATGGAAAGGTCCAGACAAGATGTTTGGCGTTAACCGCC